CAGAAAGCTCAGGGTGAATTGACAGTGGGGCATAGCAACCCCAAAAGTTAATGTCATCTTTGAATCAGTAGAGAAGATGTGTCCAGCCTATTGGTCAACATTTAGTAAGCACCTTCCATAAGCTCTGGGCTAAGCCCTGGGGATACACAAAGAAGCAGAAGACAGTCCCTGCCCTCAAGGAGCTTCCAGTCTTATGGGGGAGACAACATGCAAACAAATATGTACAAACCCGCTCTATGCAGGATAAACAGTTCCTTAACAGAGGGAAGGCACTGGAATTAAGAGAGGTTGGGGAAGGCTTCCAGTAAAAGATGGGCTTTCAGCCGGGAGGGAAAGGAAGCCAAGGAAGGCAGCAGGGTAGACTTGAGGAGAGAGAGCTTTCCAGGTGTGGGGAACAGGAAGAGGAAACACCTGGGCCAGAAAGTGTCGCTGGACAGAATAGCACATGGGGGGAGTAAATGTAAGAAGGCTGGGAAAGCACATGCAGGGCAGGTCTTAAACAGCTGGAAACGTCAAACAGAGGGTTTCATTTTTGATCCAAGAGGCAACAAGGAACCACTGGAATTTATTAAATGAGGGGATGAGGCAGTTAGACCTGCACTTCAGGAAAATCCCTTTGGTGGTCAAACGGAGGATGGTTGGATTGGGGAGAGACTCCAGGCAGACAGCCCCCCCAGCAGCTGTTGTAATAGTCCAGGTGTGAGGTGAGGAGGGTCTGCACCAGGGCAGGCCAGTGTCACTGGAGAGAAGGGGAAATATTGCAATGGTAAAATCAGCGCCCTCGGCCACAGCTTAGGTCCAGGGAGTAAGAGATAGTGAAGAATCCAGGATGACTCCTGGGTGAACAAGTCTGAGAGCCTGGGAGGGGGGGCTTTGCGCTTTACAGCAACATGGAAGGTGTGAGGTGGGAAGGTGGAAAGATGATGACTTTTGTTTTAAACATATTTGGTTTAAGATGTCTACTGGACTCACCCGAATTGGGGGTAGGGATAGGGAACAGCAGCTGGAGCTGCCTGGGGATCAGCCTGGAGCCCCCCTCCAACTGGCTTCTCGCCAGTCTTTTCCAACGGATTTTTATTGTGCTGCTGTCCATTTTTGTGAAGAGGCAGATCACGCATTTTGCTATGAAGTCTCGAAGAGGCCCTCACGTCCCTGTGGGGCACACTGCTCCCAAGGATCTGAAGGAAGAGATTGACCCCCGACTATCCAAGGTCCAGGACGTAAAGTATGAACCCCAGCTTCTTGAAGAGGATGATGCCAGACTTTTGCAGCTGGAAACACCAGGAAATCAACAGTGCTACAACTACCTGTACAGGATGAAAGCATTGGATGCCATTCGTGCCTCCGAGATCCCACTCCACTCAGAAGGCCGGCATCCTCATCCCTAACAGGTAAGAACTTCCACTCCCATCAGCTGGAGCTTCGAAACACAAATATCCCCTTCAAGGGTGTCCGCAAAGCTCTCATTGATACCCTGCGAGGTGGCCATGAGACAGCTGGATATGGACCTGGTGTCTTTGGCCAGACTGAATATCTATACTACCGAGAAGCACCGAGTGAATCGGCTGCCTTGGCATGAGTTGTCAAAGCCCGTGGTGGAGCTCCCCGAGGCAGCACCAGTCAGCAGCTAAGGATCTGGCACAACCTCCTAAAGTTTCCTCCCCAAGAACTATCCAGGTCACCTACCTGCCCTCCAGCTGGAAAAGTAAAAGAGCCAAGCACTTCCTAGAGCTGAAAGGCTTTAAGGATAACTACACCACCAGAGAGTACCCTCTGACTGAACCTGGGGATAGCCATGGCCAACTTGGCTCCAATAGGAGAATCCAGTCTGTATCCAGGGACTTCTCCAGGGCAGGACACACGGCAGCGCTGGACAGCATGGATGGCATTATGCCCAGAGTTCTTGCAAGTGTGTGTTTGGAGATCCCTCCTTAGGCTCATCCCTCTGGTCTGTGGAACTGAAGTCCCATGAGGCTCTCTTTCCCTCCCCAATAGCTTTTTTATGGAATTGAATGCACATATTTTTCCTCTCTCCATGTCATTTCCTCCTTACCCCAACTTGTTTTTGATCATGGTTATTTTTTGCCCTCTCCTAGTCAGTTTTATCCTAAATACATTAGTAGGACAGGGGGAGGGGTCATTTATGATGTGAGAAATGAAAACGACAGAGCCCTGATCTTACCCACTCAGCTGGGGACTCCAGCCCACAGACACATCATTGGAAGTTGTGGAGTGAGGAAGGCAGAAGAGAACTAGGGTGTTGTGTTGAGCGCACTGCCTTGCCCTTCTCGTCACACACTATGTAGAACAAGATGTGACTGAGAGAAACTGTCAGTGAAAAAGGCACTAATTCCATATTCTCCCCGTAAGTCCCTGCACTGGTCTGACTTTATAAACCAGTTATTTAATAAAACAGCTGTAAAAAAAAAAAGTCTACTGGACATCTAGTTTGAGATGTTTGAAAGTCAATTGGAAATGCAAGATTGGAGGTCAGAAGAGAGGTTAGGGCAGGACAGGAAAATGTGAGACGGTAATTAAAGCCATGAGAGTTGATGGGTCACCAAGTGAAGTACAGAGAGAGAAGAGGGCCCAGGACAGAGCCCAGTACGCCCCACCATGGTTAGAGGGCAGGGTCTGGAGGAGCCCATGGCGTGGCCAGACAGGAGGCAAATACCAAGGAGGAGCATGGTTGTGTCCACGGCTGCAGAGCTCATGGACAGTGCAGAGTGAGGAAGGGCCTCTCACGGTCTCCCTGTCTGCTGCCTGGGCCACTCCACACAAGTGGGTACCACATCTTAGGAGGTACGCTGGCAAGCCGCCTCATGGCAATCAACACAGTGGCCAGCCTCCTGAGGTGATGCTGTGTTGAGTGTTGGCTAAAGAGAGCAGGGGAGGTTAGCATGGAGAAGAGATGGAGCGACAAAGGACGAGACCTCTTTCAGCATATGGTGTGCCTTGACACACAAGAGAACAGAACGAAGAAGGGGTGAGGGGGGCAGAAAGGCAGGTCTGAGGGTGGGTGTGAGCAGCAAACGAGGAACTACAAGGAGGCAGTGTGAAGGGTTATCAGCCCAATCAGAAGCAAGATGGCCCAGGTGCATCTCATCAGCAGATCGCCATGGGCTCCCGCAAGCACCCACACAGCGTCCTAATCTCTAAGCAGGATGGGAAGGGTCCTCTTCTGGCTGATTCCCAAGAAGAGGGCCCAGAGTCCCAAAGGATGGCTGTCATTGGCATCACAGGACGGAGGACCCACATTTATGATATCATGCACCCACTGGGAAAAAATACTTGCTTCCAATCAGACTTTCCCCTATGTGTCCCCATGGAGGACTTCAAGCAAAGATGAAGGAACTTGTAGTCAGGAGTCCAGAAGGGGTAATGCCTCTCCAAGCAGGACCTGCCCAAGACCATCTGTGAGTTTCCCGCCAACCCTGGGGGTTGTGGCCCAGGTCCTCTGCCCTCCATGGGCCTAGAGAAGTGCTCCTAAGGGAGGGGCAGAAGGCCATGACCCATTCAAGGTGGGAAGTGACCAGCCCAGCCCCATCACTAGCTCTGAGCACCCTGGGGACTAGACATACATGGTCTGAGGGGCCTGCACCGAGGGCCCGACTGGGCCGGCTTTCCTTTCAGTCCACGCTGCCATTTGCCAGGAAATACAGCCACTGTGCAGGCCTGCTTACCAAGAAAGGTTTGTCCAGGTCTGTCTCCTGCTCCGTCCTGGGGAGGTACCTCAGGAGTTATACAGGAGTAGTCACCCACAGCCAGAGCTCACGTTAACTGTATGTGCACAGGTCTTTGCACATGTGTGCACATCTGCGTGTGTGTGTGTGCACATGAATCTCTGTCTGTATGTGGGCATACTCGTGTGTTATGTGGACCAGAGCCTGCCCTTTCATAAACAAAGTTCTAAACCAAAACAAGGAGGTAAGCTTCCCTCTCCAAGAAAGCAAAAGGCTAAATTACATCCAAATAGGTCAACCTTTACTAGAAACAGTTCAAAAAAGCCATCAGGTCAACGTTATAACGTGCATCCAGGAAGAATGCTAGATGGGATCCTGGTGAGCTCAGGACTAGAAGGGAGGGACCTGACTAGTAAGGTGGGGAATCCACAGCGGTCCTGGGGTGATGTGGGCAGAAGACAACATCAGCTTGGCTAAAATAAAAGGTGAAACCCAACCCTTTCCCGCCCTCCTCTAATTTAAACTTAAAGTGGGGCCTGGCTGGCTCTGTCCAATTGCCCCCAGTCTCCACACAGATGGCTGGGAGAGGGGGAGGGAGTCCTTCAGACTACATGGCCATTTTTGGCCACCCTAGGACAGGCATTCGGCATCTGTCTGCCCCGCCCACCCCTTAGCAAGAGCTCAGGAAGTGGCTACCCGGACACTCCAAATGGTGAAGCCATCAGAACTGTGGCCAACAGAGCCACCCGCGGCATCAACTTAGGCAACTGAAGCAACTGAAAAAGGGAAAAAGACCCAGCCCTGGGCCTTGCCCTGACTGACACCAGGACAATGGGCCAGGGTGGGGTATCCCTACGGCTTACACCTCCCAGCTGAGGACAATGCCACAACGATGATGCAGAGAACGGGCTCCACTACTCCTGGCCGGCGCTCGTGTCCCCCCCCCTCCCCCATCCCCGGTCTGCCGGGGCGGAACTCACACCTCCAGACACAGGCCCAGCTTCCCTCAGCTCCCCACCAGGGTCTACGCCTCTTGTCAGGCTAAAGCCCTGGCCCTACCTGGGAACACAAAGGATGACCAACCTGCTCAGGTGAACCGAATGGTGTGTTTCAACGCCTCAAGGGAGAGGCGAGGGGAATGGAGGAGGACCAGCGCGTTCCAGGGTACTCACTAAGGATGGGTGTGTCCTGTGTTCAGAGTCAGATGAGTCTTCCAGGGATGGCATGGACAGGTCACTGTCACTGTCTGGGGCCAGACTGGGTACATGGCCACTCTCTGAACCACGTGCACCGGCTCACGACCACTGGGCTGAAGCCTCAGCGCCCTGAGGGGCTGAGGGGACCAGAACGAGGGCACGGTGAACGGAGGGGCACCCGCCCTCGGCCACCCTCCTGCAGCGTCCACGCTCGGGTCCACCACCTCAGCCCCCCACCGTCCCCGGCCCCCCAGGCCTCTGGGCCTTCCTGGCCTGCCATTTTGGTCTCTGGGTCCCGCTCCTCCAGGTAAGCCGTGGGACCCGAGGGCCAGCAGAGCCCCAGTGCAGCCAGGTCCCTGCACAGGTGCAGGTTCACGGGCTCCAGCGAGGAAGAGGAAGAGGGGCCACTGGGAAATGCAGCAGGAGATCCAAGACTGGGGTTGGTGTGGTCAAACAAAGACACTGCAAGGGAGGCCTGAGTCTGAGCTCCTGTCCTGGACAGAGAATTTAACTCGTCAGGAAACAAGACATATCCAATGCCCCATCCACTCGCCCGCTGTGTCGACTGCGGCCACTTGTCCTCACTTCGCACTGCTTCCCCCCTCCACTCCTCCCCAGTAAGGACCCCTGACTATAGTCTCTCAGGGCCCTCCACCTCCTGCAGCACCCTGACCCTTCACAACATACCTGATGGCAAGGTCATCGGTGGCCACTTCCCTGGGGGTGATGTCCAGGAAAGGTTTGCTCCCTATCCCCATGGAGACCATTTCAAGCCATTTGGAGCTCTGGGGGGAGAAGGCCTGCAGTCAACATAGGCAGGCACCCTCACACACACACACCACACCACACCCACACACCCACACACCCAGACACAGCTCCCCCCTTCCCACTGCCCTCCCCAAATTTCAAAACCATAGCCCCTGTGGACACTCAAGAAGTTCTCCACCTTGCCTCTGGACTGCTGGAAGTCTCCTGACATCCTATCAAAGGACATACGGCTGGAAGGGTCAGGGATTAGGGGAGGGGGGGCAGGTACCCTTATTGCGCTTAGCTCGTCTCCAGAGCAGGCTGGCGATGTTGGCCGTCCAGGCCAGCTTAATTTTAGGGGTCAGGGCCTGCAACACAAACGTGTCATTGGCCTTGCGGCGTCGGAACCAGATCTCAAAGCACAGCCCGCTCTCTCCGTAGCTATCTGTGAAACCAATGTCTGCTGTCTGTCCAGTGAGAAATGAGTGGATACAGAGATCAAGAAAAGGGCATGGGGTCAGCACAGCGGCTAGAGCATCGGCCCTGATGTCAGAAGGTCCTGAGTGCAAATCTGGCCTCAGACTTGTAACACTCACTGGTTGTGTAACCCTGGACAAGTCACTTAGCCCCAATTGCCCCACTAAGAAAAGAAAAGAAAAGAAAAGAAAAGAAAAGAAAAGAAAAGAAAAGAAAAGAAAAGAAAAGAAAAGAAAAGAAAAGAAAAGAAAAGAAAAGAAAAGAAAAGAAAAGGAAAGAAAAAAAGAAAGGTGTACGTTGGGGGACAAAGGTGAAGAGCTGAGAGCTGGGGCAGAACCAGGGAAAGAACCAATGTCAGAGGGCAGGACTGAAGTCAGGGACGGGCTCGGAGTTAACGCTGGGGTCAGAAGACAGGACCGGGCCGGGATGCCACCCGCCCGGGTCTGAGAGGCTGGAGCCCAAAGGAAGGACAGGCAGGGCCTCCTTGGACGAGAGGGACCCTACCTTGAAGGAGTGCTTGTAGAGGAAGACCTCGTGCCCCTTGGGACAGTGCTGGGACTTGCTGAAGAGAATGAGCTCCTCAAACAGGAAGACGTGGCGCTGGCACTTCTTACCCCCGGACCACACCACGAACTCATCCTGGCAAGCCAGCTGGCCCTGCTCCTTGAGGTTCACCTGGCAGAGACGTCTGCGCTCAGCAGGGGCACCCCAGACACCCTGGGCCCAGAGGACCGGCCCGAGCTCAGACTGAGCCTCCCTGCGCTGCCAGCCCACCCCAATGGGCCGAGCCCCCGTGGCAGGTGCTTTCTGGGGCCGCGAGCATGCCTGTGCCCCCAGCGCCAGCCCGGGCGGCCACGCAGTGCAGGGTCTCCCCGTGCCGTGCCCGGGCACACTCACATCACAATCACAGATGGCATCCATCACCAACAGGTCACTGCCGTGCAGCAACTGGAACCGCACGAGGTCACAGGCGGTGCACAGCGCAGCCAGATCAGACTCTCTGAAGGAGCTGCGCGCGGGCCTGTAGTTGCAGGCGCGGCGCAGTTCCTGCAACAGCAGCACGTACTCGCTCATCCACTGAATGGGCTTCAGCAGGTAGGAAGACAAGTCCAGGCGGTCCCTGAGACGGTGCTGTTTGTCCTGGGAACAGGCGGAGCGGAGAGGAAAAGGGGAGGTGGTCTCCTCTGCCTGAGGCCTTCTGTGTCTCCTAGAGGTTCCGGGGATTCTAGCCCAGCCCCCTCATTGACAGATGGGGAAACCGAGGCCTAGGGAGGAGGCATTCCTCGTCCAGTCACACAGGCAGTGACAGGCAGAGAGAAGCTCCCTCTGCACCCTAACTCTCTCCCACACCCCGCTGCCTTCCTCAGCCCAGGTGCGCCCAGGCCCTCTGCTGGGACTCAGATGCACCCCTCACTCTGGAGTGTGGGAGGGGGTGGAGGCTGGAAAAGACCTTCGAGACATATCCATTTCAACCCCTTCCTTTCAAGGTTAAAAAACTGAGGCCCGACAGAGAAGCAGCCGGACCATCCCAGGGAGGGGCAGGGCCAGCACTGGCCAGCAGGGAGCCAGGCCCGGCCCTCCCTCCTCTGCCTCAGGCACGGTCTGAGACCGCAGGACCAACCTTGAAAAAGGCCTTCCCGTGGCTGGCCCACAGCGCGTCCGATGTGGGCTTGTTCTTGCTGTAGTAGGCGTACATGCCGAACTCTTCCCTCTGTGGAGATGTGAGGCTCAGCCCACGGCTGGCGGTGCTCGCTCCCCTGCTGGCCCCCCCCCTCTGCCGCCCACACAGCTCAGATGTGCCGCGGAGACCCTTCCGCTTAGCCGTGTGGTGGTCACGTGTGTACGGTTAGTATTTAAACCCACATCAAGCAAAAGGCCCAAGCTCCAAATGCAATTAAACATGGAATGGGCTGACCGCTCGACCCGAGGTCACCCCAGCCAGCCCCCAGGAGTCCCGCCCACAGCTGGATACCAGCAACAGAGCCGTGACCAGCAATGGCTCATCAGGAAGAAAGGGAGAGGCACGTCTGGCCGCCAGCACTGGGCTGGGAGGTGTGGTGACTGCCCCGTCCAAGCTGGGCGCTGCGCTCCCTGGAGCCGCTGAGGGCCAGGCAGGGGCAGGGGCAGAAGGCAAGACAGCCAGCCCTTACATAATGCAGGGAAGGTGTGGGCCACCCAGACAGGCTGTTGGCTGCAGCTCTCCAGCTCCCGCAGGAAGAAGTGGCAGTGGAAGTCCCTGAGCTTCTCCAGGTTGCCAAAGATGCGGGCTTGCTGTCTGCGCAGGGCCGGCAGCACGTCCTCCCGCTCCAGCTCGAGGAAGTAGTTCTCCACCACATAATCCAGGGCTCACACGTACTCCCACTCCGTCGACACCATCTCTCCCAGTATGAAGTGCACCCTGCCCAGCGGGCAGAGGTCAGCGCCAGGCCCACACTGCCACCCTGGGTGCCCCTCCACTTTAGGGTCTCTCCGGACCAGCAGGGCTCACCCCCACCTGCACCCCGCACCAATACCACCCACATTCTCTTGGACCTCATATTCGTCGGAGCCCTGCAACAATCCTGTCACTTAGGGGTGTGCAAGATTTATTCTCCCACCGTTACAGACAAAGGAAACTGAGGCTCAGAGTGGTCACACAGCTTCTAACTCCTGGAGGTTGGACTGGAATGCATCCTCCAATGGCTCCATGCTCTTACCAGCCACCCCAAGATTTCCGTCCACCTCTAAACTCTGCTGTACCTGTCAGGGGCGCTGGCCTTCAGCAGGGGACTGCAGAGCGTCGGCCTCGGGGTCACCAGGGGCCTCAGGATGGGAGGCTCTGCTTGCTGGCTGCCCAAGGGGCCAGGCAGGGCTGCCCAGGTCACTGGCTCCTCGTCCAGGCTGAGCTGACTAGTGGGGTTCTGTGGCCTCTGCTTTGGCTGTGCCCCCAAGGCATGGAAAGTGGCAGATTCCGCAGAAGCCAAAGTCCCACTGCCTCCAGCTCCCTCTTCAGCCCTCCTTCCAGCGGCCAGGGAGGCCTGGTCTGAGGAGTCCCTGCCACCACCGTGGCTGCCCTGCGACTGTTGCCGCCTGCCCCGAAAAAGGATGGCAGCACCCACTTGGCCTTGCGTGCCTTCTCCAGCTTCTTGTCGAACGTCTGCTGAGTGTCTTTGCACAGAAAGCACAGTAGGCGACACCGCTGGATGGTGAGACTGGACGGCACCTCCATCTGCTGGAAGTAGGAGGGCACCAGGTCAGGGTGCAAGGCGCAGTGCTCTTCCAAGCTGCGCAGAACCATTTCCGGGGAGGCATTTTTGTCCTCGGCAAGCTTGGCCAGGGCCTTTCGTCCAGCCTGTGTCCACTCCCGGACCTGGGATGGCAGGAGACAAAAATCAGCTTCCTTTGGAAAGGAAACTCCCTTCCTCAGACCTTCCCCGACAATCAGGGTCCTCTCAGCAAGCGACAGGAGGGCCCCCTTTTTGGAGAATAATGGGAGAAAGGCATGGTCCTGGCCCTTCTCAGCCTGGCCTCCCTGTCTGCAGTGGGCATGGGCCCTGCCCGCCCGGGAAAAGAGGGGAGAGGCTAGCATTGGACACCAGCTGCCTCCCCTCCTGCTCGCCGACCTGGAGGCCGAGAGCCAGAAGAGACATCAATGTTCTCCTTTCACAGACAGGGAAAGGGAGGCCCAGGATCCCCACCCCCAGCCTCCTGCCTCTCACCCAAGTCCTCTGTGGAGTGGGCCCGGGCCCCGTCACCTGATCCAGCATCTGAGAAAGCTCCTGGGCATCCTTGAGCTGCTGCTGGCGCCGGTCGAGCGCCTTGGAGTAGTCGGACAGCTGGGCGCGCAGGGACATGAGGTGGGCCCCAGGGGTGCCCAGGTGGCCCAGCTCGGCCATTTCCCAGCCGACCATCATCTCCTCCCCACGACGGATGAACTTCTGGGGAGAGTGAAGGGCCGGTCAAACCCACCCTAGACCTGGGATGCCCTCTGCCCCTCCTGCCTTCTGCCAGCCTTGCTCCCCTGCTGCTACCCCAGGATGGCTTCTGGGCCTTGGTCTTGTAATCTATGGAATGGGAGAGTGGATCAATAAGGTTCCTGAGGTCCTAGGATCCCTTGATATAGAACTACCCACACTACCCCACCCACCACCACCAAGCCTGGGCTGGCCTCTGCCTGCATGCCCTCCATTCTGCCCCACAAAAAAGAATCCTGTATCCTGCTCTCCTCTGACCCGAGCCCACCTGGGAAGCCCAGTCAAGCCTGAAGAAGGCATCCTGGGCCTGAAGCAGCATGTTCAGCAAAGGGTCCTTCGGCACCGTCAGCCCCGGCCAGCCGACGTTCTGCAGCCACGTCTCAATCTGCCAGGGGGAGGAGGACAGTGCCGGCAAAGGGACACAGGGGTGAGCATGGGCCCTCAGGCCCTGGGAAAAGTAGGGTCACACTCCCATTAAGAGGAATGTTGTCCCTGACTCTGTCCTACAGGTGTGACTGTGGGGCAGCTGGCCTGGCAGAAAAGAGGAAGAGAAGGCAGCGAGGTGGTGCAGGGCATAGAGCTCCAGCCTTGGAGTCAGGAGTACCTGAGTTCAAATCTGGCCTCAGATGCTTGACACTTAATAGCTTTATGGCCCTGGGCAAGTCACTTAACCCCAATTGCCTCAAAAAAAAAGAGGAAGAAAGAGACTTGGGTGGGAAGCGGCAGAAGAGAGAAGAAGGCATGCCCACCTCGGCCAGCGGTTTTGTCTGGGCCTTCAGCATCTTTTCCAACTCGTGTCCATATCCGTTGGTTGCACAAGTGACCAGCTCATGCAGCATCCCATCCGCCTGGGCGTACAGCTTCCCCACCTCCTCCACCGCCAGCCTGGCATGAGAAACAATTGTCCCTCTTGAGCGGGGCACCATGGGATGGGAAGTTCCACCACCCTGAGGCCTCTCCACAATGCCCACCTGTGGTCCGAGCTCTGCATGCCACCCGGCTCCTCCCTCTGGAGCTCTGCCAGGGCCATGCCACCTTCCCGCTGCAACCACAGCAGCAGAGGGTATACCAGCACACGCTCCATCAGCTCCCGTGGGTCCCACAACAGCTGCGTCAGTCCCCGAGGATGGGCACAGACACCACAGAGATGAGCAGAGCAAGAAGGCAGTGCCACAGAGGGGGTGGGGGGCAAGGGGGTGATGTGACCACCCCCGGGAGCCACCATGCACACTCACCCCAGCAGTCCCCGGCCTGGGATCTCCTTTTAGGTTCTGGATGGCCCTGTGGAGCAGGGCAAGGGCCTCCAGGTAGCTCTCCTGCAAGGCTTCCAGCAGCTGAGGGACAGGGAGGGCGGCAGTCAGGCAGAGGCCACAGACCAAGCATCCGGCTCCTGGCCAGACTGCTGGCACTGTCCCCGAGGGTGCCAGCTCCCCCCCAGGAACCCTATGATGCCCCGACCTCGCCACTGCTCTGTCACAAGAGGGGCTCTCCCTCTTCCCTCCCGCCCCGGCCCAATCACTAACCTTTTGGAAACCCAGCCAAGCATCGTGGTTGTAGTGGAGACGGCCCCCCAGAGTGAAGGGCAGCTGGGAGGTAGGGATGAAGGAGAGAAGAGCCTGTGGGGAGAGAAGCATCAAAGGAAGGAATCATGGACACCTGGGGGAAAGGGATCCAGGGCAAGAGGAATGACCTGGATGGGGGCCCGTGACCCGCAGGCTGGCAGGGAGCAGGGCCACACCAGCCGTGATTGGCGTTGGGCAGGCCAAGTGGTCGGGGGAAGCCCAGCCTAGGTACCTTCAGTCCTGGAGGTGGAGCCCCCAACATTTTCCCCAGCAGAAGGACCTGGTGCACAGAGCCTGGGACAATGTTCTGAAACAGCCATTAGCCCAGACCTCAGTCCCAGGGAGCCCTTGCCCCTGAACCTTGGAGCCCTCCCTAACAGGCCTCAGGACTGTCGAGCCTTCCCACACCCAACCCCTGCCTCCCGTCCCCACACCTGAACACAGGCACAGGGAGGCCAGCCCAGGCCAGGGACCCAGCCAGCCCAGGCTCACCTGCATCTGGAGAAGCCCCTGGAAGAGCCTGGAGTAGGGCAGGCAGCATTAGGCGTCCACCAGCACAGTCAGTCCGCGGGCCTGATCCTCAGGTCTGCCAAAAGCAGAGCAGACTGGGGGTGACTCTCGGGCCCTTGGCACTTCTGGCACACCCACCTCCCAGGACCCAGCCCTTCCAAGCCCTGCCCCCCAGCCGAAGGCAGGCCCCGTTCCCACCTGGGAATGCTATGCAGGTAAAGGAAGAGGTCGGTGATCTCCCGGACACCACAGCGAGGACCGAGCCAGGCCAGATGCTGGGTACACACCAACAGCACCATCCGGCCCTCAGAGTCCCTGGTCCCTGAAGGAAGGCAGAGCTTCACGATCCAGACTGCTCTCCCCTATCTATCTCCCCCTCACAAGCCTCTTCAACCCTGCTCTTCCCCTCAGCCCCCGCCCCCTAGCCTGCAGGCCCTTCCTCCCTTCCCCCTTCCCCTCAGCCCCTGCCTCCTAGGCTGTGGACACTTCCTACCTTCCCCCCCTTGCCCCACAGCCCCTGCCTCCCTTACCAGGCAGGGCAGCTAAGCCACTGTCCAACAACTTGGGTGACAAGTTCTGAGCAAGGCTGGTCCTCGGAGGCACAGGGTGGGGAGAAGGGCTCCTGGAGGCTGGATGCTGTTCAAGCTCCCCTGAGAAGAGAGGCTTTCTACTCCTTCCATTCCAAAGAAGATTCCTGGAGAAAGAACCCTAAGCTCTGAGATCTGGGCCCGCTCAGGAGGATTCTAAAAAGCTTCCCTGGAGATCAGGTCAGAACCTGGGGATTGCTGGACGCTAATTCATAGATGGGGAGGATACAGGATGAGAAAGTACCTTAGAAGTCAGCTGGTCTAATTCCATCCTTTTTAGGATGCCTTAGGAAGCTAAGGCCAAGAGGTTGTGACTGGAACAAAGTCATGTAGTTAGTCAGTGAGGAAGGTGAGATGTGAACCCTTGGGGGCCTCATGACTCAATCAGTGCTCCTGCTGGGTCCTTCTGGAAGCCTACCTCCTCGCCATGTGCCCACTGTGCCCATCAGGTCCCTAATGACATGCTCTCCCTACCCCCCACTTACCTTTCCCAAGTAATGACACCTCTAGATTCCTCTTGGTGGGCCTGGATTTTCTCCTTCCCTGGATACTCTCAGGATCAGAGAGGGCTAGGCTCCCAGGGTCTGCCCTCTGCTCCCTGCTCATGCCTTGTCCCTCATCCTGTGCTGGCCCAGCAGCCTGAGGACCGTCCTGGCCATGGAGCTTGGTGCCCTCCTCCGAGCTCTGATCATCTTCCAACGTGAGTGCAGGCAGCCCCAAGAGAAGCAGCTGGACATCAGTGCCTCGGGGGGGGGGGGGGGAGGCACTCTGGCTTGCAGGAGGCGTGGCCTGCGGCTCTCCTCTGGGGAGTGCCTCTGGGGGAGGGCCAGGGGGGTCTGGGGGTCTGGGCTCTTCTGCAGCAGGTTCGGTGCCTTCCTCAACCAAGGCACCATCGCAACCGCACACAACAGACCTGCGGTCCATGGCGTGGGCTGGCTCAGGACCCCTGGGAGTGTCCTTACCAGAATCACCGGGTGAGTCCGGGGATGGGCAGGCCCCCGGGGGGGGGCAGGGTCTGCGGGCTCTGCAGCAGTCATGACGGCTCTGCGGAGCCCCTCAGCCTCGGTTTGTCCAAGAAGCAAGGCCTCCGAACCTGCTCCGGGGCTACCCTCGGGGCACGCTCCCAAGTACAACGACAGGCGGGGCGCCGTGCCCACGGGCCGGGCACCCCACCTGCGTGAAGGGCGTCCATCCAGTGGGCAGTAAAGATGGCTGGGGAGCTGGCTTTGAGCAAGGGCAGCCGCTAGGCGCTGTGGCCTCCAGGTGCAGAGGCAGCTCCGAGGACGCCAGGCACAGCGCACCCTAGACACTGGTCCCTAGCTGGCGGGCAGCAAGACGCAGTGCAAAATGCAGCCGGAGGGCAGGAAGCTGCAGGACGCCCAGCATAGACAGCTCCACCCAGGCAGGCAGCACGTGTCCTGCACAGCGTGGTGGAGCCCCTGAGTACACCAAGTCCAGTGAGTGAGTACCCGGGAGGCCTCCCTGCAGGCCCCTCCCTCCCACAGCGCTCCCCTGAGGGTGGAGGAGCCCCTGAATTGGCTACCGGGAGCCCCGCGCTATGTTCACCCTGCAGGGGGAAGGGAGGGGGAGGGGAGGTCCCGAGAGGGCCCAGGCAGGGGGTCTGCGTGCCTCCCCCCCTCCCTGCTTTCTTTCCTTCCTCCTTCCTGTAAGGTATAAGAAATTAGGTTTCCACAGATGCAGAGGGAGTAGTCCTAAAGTTGGATACAGGTGTGGAAAGAGCAGCTTTACTTAGAATTGTTTTTCAAAGCCAGTTATGTGATTAGAAGTGCTGGAAGTAGGACAAGGGTTATATAAATTTCTCTAACTGGCTGCTTAATGAGTCTGAGTGTTATCTTCTCCTCCTGGGGGAGGATTAACACAATTCTAGGCATAATGTTGTATGTAGAGGCAGGCAGGAACATATTAAGGAGTAACATGAAGTAGACGTTTGGGGAAGTTGTGCCCCTCAAAGTATCCAGCCATGGAGAAACCAGGGACGGCCCCTGCTCAAGACAGGGACATTGCTGCCTGGGCTCGCTTCTGTGTGTGTGCCAGCGGGCCCGTGTGTCTGCTTCTAGCAACCACTCTCTTCTTGCAAGAACTACTAAATGAGCTTGCCTCATCTACCCCGGGA